GGACTGCTCTGGGAGAAGAGGTGGGCTCTCTTAGCTGTCTGACACTTTTATGATACGTGAATACAAATGCAAAGCTTCAGGTATAAACCCAGAGCTCACTGCAGCTATGCAGATGTGGGGAAGAAGGCAAACAAGCAGATTCTGCACAAACACAAGGCCCACTTCAACAAAACAAGTATGGGACAGGACAATGCTACTTCCAAAGGCTGCACAAACAGTGCATCTGAAACAAACAGGGCAGCCTCTCCCATCCACAGCCTGAAGTGTGTTCAAAACATTCTGAATAATCAAAACTAATCCCAGAAACATGCCCTTACCCTACACAGGTGGGGTGAAGCGTGCAGCCTGCCCACGCCCTGCACGTCTCCCTCAGTCCCATCACCTCCCAAATTCCTCCTCTTCATTGCACAACCCGGGAGAAGCCAATCCAGCATCGTGCCAGTTTCTCCCCCTCCCAAGCTCCGAGCCAAAGGAGCGTGGAAGGAAAGGAGATGAGCGTGAGTCGCTGCTGCAGCCAGACAAACAGCCCTGTGCTGGGCACAGTGGTGCCTTGAGACGACAGCACTGGGCACAGCGGGCACTCAGAGACACGGCTGTGCCTCTCCCCGCAGCTGGGCACAGCCCTGGTGCTCTGCCACAGAAGATAATATTTAGGGAGCTTCTGGCCTTCCAGCAGCGCTGGGGACTGGCTGACAGCTGCCACCACAGCACAGACGACAAGCCCTGACACCGTGCCGGCCTCCTGAAAGGGAGTTATTCTTCAGGCTCCGGGTTGTTTTGCCGATGCTGAGGGCACACACGGCCTCAGCCTCCGCCAGCTCACGTCCTTCCGCCCACTGCCTGAGCACTCACTGCAGTTCTGGGTGCTTGGAGAGCTCGGGAGCTCCCACGCACAACAACATGTTGCATCTCTGCTGCGGGAGGAAGAGACACTCCGGATTCACCAGCAGCGACAGCACCGCAGCGGGGAAGAGAAAAAAACCAAAAACCGTCTTATTCTGGGCAACATTTGTAGCCAGTGCATACATTGGAAATAAGTGTTAAACTGCCATGGGCTGTGGTTGGGTTAATTGATTCTGTGGTTGGGGCAGTCAGAGCTGGCTTCCTGCATGAGGACAGGCGAAATTCCAGGGGAGCAGGGGAGGGATCGCGGGCTTGGAGATGCAACCAGCAATTTGTCCCCTCCAGTGGAAGGCCATTTTCTGCATCATTCCCTCCCAAAAAAGTATACACTACAGGCAGAAGAGCTGGCCAATATAGGGAGGAAAAGGGCTGCTCCTGCTGGGTTGGCTTTCTGGTGCCTGCTACCAGCTTGGAGAAAAATCTGTCACTTGTGCTCCACGCTGCATGGGGGACCACTTGAGTTTATCCAGGCAAAAGGTAAAATAACTGAATAGCAGAAACAGACAAAGAGATTTAATACTGGAACTTCCAAACACTGCCAACTGCCTGGGTGAAAAAGAGAGCAGAGGGAATGTCTGAATTCAAATCAACCCCGTTTTCCACTGGAATTGAGCCATGGAAAGGTTTTCCTTGAGAGTTTATTTAGAATGAAATGTAAGCCTGTGCTTAGGACCTGCAGTGATAAGACTTCTAGTCATGAAACACAGAGCTGTTCTCAGCTCACTCCCCAAGCCCATCTTTCACAGACTAAGGCATCACACTGGCCCCATACATAGAAGAGTGGGTTTGGGCTGTGCCATCATTAAGTGAACCTGAGCTTGCAGAAGGCAGCAGCAACACACAAAGTTTATCACAAATGGCAGTTGTGGCAGGAACAGGCACCATCCAAAGGTTCCTCTCCTCCCACAGAGCTGGGAGCAGGTGACAAGAAGGCAGTGGTGTGTAAACAGGTAGAGCTCACACACAGCTGACAAACTTGCCAGATCCTCCCCAAGCTCAGCAACTCTCCGAGACAAAGCAAATCCCATCATCTACTTCCAGCAAAGAAATTGCTCTTCAGCCTTCCTCTGTATGAAGTGGTGTTTTCTCTCCAAGATCTTCTAGGGGACATTAATTTATCATAAAGCTGCCAGTACCAGCCTAGCTGTCAATCACTGACATGAAGGGAAGTCTCAGGATTGCATATGGACAGCCACAGCTCACACACTGCCAGGTACATGTCATGTGTCCAGTGCTCTCTGCCCTGGGCATCAATGGTCACACACCCCTGTCCATGCAGGCAGTCATGGTGTCCACACACAGCAATCAGCCAAAGTTTTCACATTGAACTCTTATCTGAGCCCAGCCCTGAGACTGAGGGCACGTGCTGCTTCCCACAGAACTGCTCAGCTTGGAGCCCACTGCCTTTGCACCAACATGGCAGGCTTGGGTTCGTGCAGGCAGTTAACACTTTCGTGAGCTCAATGCATTTTATTCAAAAAGAGAGAAAGCAACAGATTTGGGAAAGCAGAAGTCTTACAGTCTCAGTCTCACATCTCATCCCGTTTATTCTCCTATGCATCTCCAGTCACTTCTCTGTCACTTTTTCTCTTTCCAGCTTTTCCAAGCTCCTTCAGAGCTTCTGCATTTCAAGCACCTTCTGGCTGCCACTTGCATGTGGTATTTGGGCTGTTTCCCACTCAACGTCCCAACATCCCAGCTAATACTGCTATGTCTGCCCCAGTACTGTCCCCACGTGTGCTAACTCCAGCCCAGGCGACGGAGAAGCTGTGAGCTTTAATGACAAAATAAAAGCATTTCATAAATGAACCAAACTTTATCAGTTCTCCTTCCACCCTGGCGGTGAGCAGCTCCAGAAGTGATGCCTGCAGCCCAAGCCCTGAACACAGCTGTGGCTACTTCCACCCTGGCGGTGAGCAGCTCCAGAAGTGATGCCTGCAGCATCACTTCTGCCCTGAACACAGCTGTGGCTAGCAGAGCAGATGAGCAGAAAACTCAGAGAAGTCTCCAGGGGTTGAAGCAAATCCTCTCACAACACTACAGCCACAAAAACAAAGGTGGTGTTGAGCACCACTGGTGTGATCCTGCTGCCTCAGAGGCAGCTTTCCATGGGCAAGCTTCCTTTAATTTGTTTTTGTTGGTCATTTCCAACAGCAGCACTTGAAGGGAACTTTACTGTGCTGGAGACAGAGGCGTTCAGGAGGACTGTACAAGGGAAACGTGCATCTGGGGAATTTTCAAAACACGTTATCCAAACCTAAGGGTCACTACATTCCAGGATATCAGTGTCAGCTGGACACCTATAAATAACCTCACCAATCATGACCCATTGTGTATCAAAACCCCACTTCAGAGGCTTGTTCAGCATTACTTCCTTCTGCAAATACAAACAGCTGGTAAAAATAAGAGAATGTATAATCACCTTTGCTTGGCAGTGACAAGCTACTCCCACATGGACTTCATGCTCGGGAAGCTGAGGTATGGTAACATAAAATGGCAACAAGAAACCTGTAAGCCCTGCAGAAGGAACAACTCAGAACACCCGAATCATGAGGTTTCCATGATGCTGGAGGAACAACAGCTGAGATGCAAGCTAAGGGTAAAGGAAACAGCAGCTGGACAGATGTCTGCCCCACATCAAATGGAAATGAGAGGGTGCTCTCCCACCCCCAAAATCCCTATAAACCCATCCCTGCTCACTGCACAAAGCAAGCAGGTTTCTCCCTAATGGAGTTGGGCACTCAAACCATGCTGGAGCCCAGCCATTCCCCTCTGGTGCCCAAATGACAGCCAAATACCTCCAGGAGGACTTTTTTCCCCCTTTCTTTTTTTTTTTTAAATCAAAGTAACAGAACATTGATGTAAGTACACACAAAAAAAAGCAAAATAATTTGTTTTTCTCCAGAAATAGACAATATTTTAGATTCCTGTAATACCTATGAAAACCTGCACAGGCAACAGCAGGCACACCAAATTAACATTAAAAGTATTTTTATATGATACAAATGCGTAACAAATTGCAGCGAGAGAGTCTTGGGTGTTTTCATTCTCTGTCACTGTCATTACCTTAATCTACTCCTCCCAGAGCCTAGAAACATTAGCTTTTTTAAATAAGAGCCTCAGTTCAATTTTCCTTCATGCAGGTTTTAAGTAAGTTACAGTCTTGAAAAGTAATTCCTGGGCTGGAAACTTTTGGGCAGGATTCAAAGAAATGAAGCAGGGTTTGAGATCCTTGGCAAAAAGGAGCTTACAGAGAAAACAGTAGCAGGGACTTGTTTGTGCTCAAAGGGCATGACTATAATTCAGACAGCCACCACTGCTGTTCCCATTTATTCAGTAACATCACACCAGACTATTCCGACTTTGGAGAGCTATGCTATTTAATGCGGTAAAAATGTTTTTAGCTGTGAGAGAGTGCAAGACACAACACCACGCTACTTAACGAGAACAGCCCTTCCAATAACAACAAAAAATTCAAGCTGTAGACAAAGAATAGTTTTGGGCCGACAGATTTTAGCCAGATTGACTTCCGATAGCAGTTATACAACATGTGAGCTGCAGAGAGGCGGCAGCGCGGGTCACGCTCCATGTTTGCCGTACAGCATTCCTCACACGCTGGCTCAGAGAGCAGCCAGCCTCAAGGGTTTGCTTTGCCCGTGTTTAAACCAGCGTGCCCCTGCCTGCGTTACACACACACCGCTAAGTTCCTCCTGCGGAGTGTTTGGCTACCAGCGCTGTGTAAACAGCTGCTCCTGGGCAAGGTCTGACCCCGTTTCCTGCCGCCTCTCCGGGGCTGATGCGTGCCTGCAGGTCCGGTACCCCTCGGGAGCATCCCGAACGCGCCGCTGCCAGCACCAGAGCCGGCTGCGAGGCCCCGGAACCCTCCACGCGCCGTTCCCTGCCCACGGCGCGGGCAGGACCTTCCCGCAAGGACTTTCCCCGCATTCGCCGCGGGCACCGGCACCGGCATCGCCCCGCTCCCTCCCCGGCGCCCCCCGCGCCGCCGGGCTGCGCATCCCCCGGACCCACCGCCCGCTTCCCCGCAGCCGAGCGGCACAGGATCCCCGAGCCTGCGGGGCAGAGCGGGCGGTGCTCACCGAGAAGCGCTCCAGGTCGGTGGCGGCCATGGCCGGGCTGGCGCGGCTCCGGCTGCCGCCGCTGCCCGCCGCGAGTGGCTGCGGCTGAATGGATCCAATATGGCCCCTTCCCGGAGCTCCTCCGCNGGGCGGGCCCGCCGCGCTCCGCCCGGGGGAGCCGGGGAGCAGCGCCCGGGCTGCCGCGGGCCCTGCCGGGGGCCGGGGGCCGGTCTGGGGCGAGCACATGGCACGGGCGGCCTGGCAGGGGAAGGGGCAGCGTGGCTGCGGGAGGGAGCCTCATCTCCGGGGTCACACGGAGCCAGGACATGGCATTCCCGGGGCAGCCCTGTGCCAGGTGTCTGTAACGCGGCAGCCACAGAGCCGGGACACAGCGCACGGCCATTAACGCTGCCCGCGTTTATCCTAATTTAAGGTATGCAACAGAGGGCTGTGGAGCCTTTCTCCGTCGTTCCCACCTAAGGCACAGAGCCAAGGGCACCGCCAGTCTCGGTAACGCAGACACTGGTATTTCACTGGCGGCTAGCACAGAGCGGTTCTGTTGCTTTCTGGTGCCCTCTGCTGCAGTGCAGCTTCCCAGGAACAGCTCACCAGAGCCATGTGTGCTCCCGGCGCTGCTGGGGCACTAGACCGGACCTGCACCGCTCATCTCTCTGTTGCCCTGGCTTCGTCTCAGGCTTTCCACTCTGTCCCTGCCATGTCCTCGCCCTCTCTCTTGGAGCAATCCATTCTTCAGATTTGGAGAGCTGAGTTTGGTCAAAGAGACCAAATACTTCTCCGTGCAACACTCTTCGTGATGAAGTGACTCACGAGGATCATTTTGAACCCCCCAAGAAATTAATTCCTCCTACCACTTGTCCCGCTCCACTATAAAAGGGGGACTCGGGGAGGATCCTTTTGATGGATTTCTCGGACAAAAATAAAGTGCAAACCCAGCAATATTATATCTGAGACAGGTTTATTGATAAAAAAGGTGTTTTTACTAAAGGGGGATAGGAAAAGGAGCAGAGAGGGGAAAAGAGAGGAGAAGGAAAGAGAAGGCAGGGACAGCGTTACCACAAGAACCCTGTCATATGTCAGCCTCAGCTCAGCAGGTGGAAGGTGCGGGCTGCGAGCCGCGGTGTGTGTGCGTGGCTCCCGAGCAGCTGCAGGCTGCGTGCCCCTAACATCGGCAGGGAAAAAGGCTGCCGAGGCCACGGGCACGCTCCCGGAGCAGCTGCCGGCTCCCGGGGCAGGGCAGGGCTGCGGCAGGCCGGTCACTGCGGGCTGGGGCTGCGGCGGGGCTCTGGGCAGCGCAGCAAACAGCGGCGGGCACGGCCAGCGCCCCGCGGGCTGGGCTGCGCACGGGGCTGCGGCGGGATGGGCGCAGGATGCGGCTGTGCCCGGGAGGCACCGTGGGGTGGCTGTGCCCAGCACGGTGAGGCTGATGTGCCCAGCACGGTGGGATGGCTGTGCCCGGGCAGCACCATGGGGCGGCTGTGCCCGGCACGGTGAGGCGGCTGTGCCCGGCACGGTCGGGAGGCAGCAGAGCACGAGGTCATCCCGGTGCTGAGATGGTTCGCGGACACGGTGGAGGGCAGAGCAGGTGCGGGCAGGGAAGCAGGAGCACAGGGGAGAAAAGGCGGGATGGGGGAGAAGGGCCAAGATGACGCTCCGATCGAGCCCCTGATTCCTCCAAGAAACCCAAAGCACAGATGGCTCCTCTGTGTCGCAGTGAGCTGCTTTGATGGGCTAAGGTTCCTCACGCAGCTTGATTTCCCCTGCGTTCTTCGCGGCCTCCGGGCAGGTGAGGGCTCACTGACAGTCCGGGCCTGGAGGCTTTCCCTGGCCTGACCCAGGAGAAACTGCGGGGGACAGGACTGCCAGCACAGCTACAGCCCCTGTGAGAGCAGCACAGCTACAGCCCCTGTGAGAGCAGAGCATCTACAGCCCCTGTGAGAGCAGAGCATCTCCAGCCCCTGTGGGAGCAGAACATCTACAGCCCCTGTGGGAGCAGAGCATCTACAGCCCCTGTGAGAGCAGAGCATCTCCAGCCCCTGTGGGAGCAGAACATCTACAGCCCCTGTGGGAGCAGAGCATCTACAGTCCCTGTGAGAGCAGAGCATCTACAGCCCCTGTGAGAGCAGAGCATCTCCAGCCCCTGTGGGAGCAGAACATCTACAGCCCCTGTGGGAGCAGAGCATCTACAGTCCCTGTGAGAGCAGAGCATCTACAGCCCCTGTGAGAGCAGAGCATCTCCAGCCCCTGTGGGAGCAGAACATCTACAGCCCCTGTGGGAGCAGAGCATCTACAGTCCCTGTGAGAGCAGAGCATCTACAGCCCCTACAAGAGCAGAACACAGGCTGAGGCATACGGGAAAATCAGATTGGTCCCTCTCACCACTACACACAGGAGTCAAAGAAAAGCAGTGTGTGCACAAAAGTGGAGCAGTTACTGCGCAGGTTTTGAGGGCCCTGTAGGAATCCCCCAGCAGCTTTGGGGACTCACAGAGCCCTCTCTCCTTTGCTCTCAAGCAGCATCTGCTCAGCTGAGCTGCTCAAAGCCCATCCTCAGGGCTGCTTCTCCCTCGGTGCCCACACCACCCAGGGCAGCCACTGAGTCACTGTGTTACAGCAGGTGTCTGTATTTTACATCTCCTTGTCTTTGATTCTTCCCAGGCTTCCTTGTGTTCCACTTGCACAGTCCTGCAGGAGTTCTGGGAAACACAGTTTGTTCCAGAAGGGCACTGTGCTTATGCTGGAGAAATAATTCAGGATATAAACTTAGATGTAGGTAATTGAAGAGGGAGGGCAAGGGTTAGAGCCATCAGAGGTTAGGAAGAAGATTGTGTTCTCCCTTTAAGCAATTTCAAGACATTTTCTGAGGTGGTGTATGATTTGCTTTTTGAAATATGATAGTTCTAGTGCAGGTCAAAGGAGCTTTTTTTCTCCTTCCTGAGCAGACTGCCTACAACCAAATTAATTCTGCTAATCCATATCTTAGTTATGGATAAAGACAGGTTTTTAAAAATGTACTTCTCTGACATGAACAGTGCAGGTCAGTGCTGAACACCATCTGTTAATTTATGTTCACCAAAAATTACCAAAACCACCCCCAACCTTTTTGCTGTCACAGCCACAGCTCTTAATGCTGCCAGGGACAGCAAATCTGTCCTGCATGTCCCTGGCACCTGAAGCCAAGCCCCAGCAGTGTTAGAAGCTTGCTGAACCTTTTACTCATTTACCCCTTGTGAGCGAAATGTTCCTGCAGACCAGACATTCATTTTATCACCTTGTTTCTTTGGCTGACTCCCAAAGGTTCTCCAGTTCTCCCTGGCTCCCTCAGCAAAAATGTGGAAGCTAAAACCTGGTATTTCTGGGGCACAGATGCAAGTCAAACAGTTAATACAGAAGCACAGTTAACTTTCCAGGCTGCTTTCATATATCACAAACAAGCAAAAATAAACACATAAATACTGGAAAGTTTTTGTTTGGATTTTTTATTCACAATCAGCTTTGTGAGTCCTTATTTAAAACAACGTAAAAATCTGGCTTAACAAGCCTGAATGCTGTAATGCCAGGTACTTTTGCAGAAGCAATTGACTTTGATTCAGTAAGAACTCTATTCTGTTACAATAAAGTGCACAATGTAACAAGGCAAGGCTCACAAAAGCTGACTCCTCTCAGCAGAATTAATCTACAGACACCAGAAGTTTATGTCCAAAAAGGAGACAGAGGAGTCCTGTAACTTAATTCAAAAAGAGGGAGAGACCATGGGGAATTTCCACTGGGGTCTCTCAAAAGTTTTAGAGGACACAGCCTCCTTTTTGTCCCTATTTCCTGGCCACATTTCCCTCTCTCTTTCCCTGTTGGCAGAGGTACTTGAGAGGTACAGACTTCTCAAACTACCTGATAACCCCTCCTAACGTATACCCCCGTTTTTCCTCGTGTCTCCATTCTTTTTCTCCAAATCCAGAGATTTAGCACAATCTCAAGTGAGTAACAGTCTGTGTCAATTAGTGGAATTCCTATGGAATTTATGGTTCTCCCATTGCTTCTTTCACCTCTCTGTATCTGGCTTATGAACCAGTTTGTTTGTAAAGACACTTCCTTCTGTTCCTTTCATTCCCAAACAGGTGCTGGTTTCTGTGAGCTGCAGGTCACAGAAATATTCACAGCACAAAGGAAACTGTGAGACCTTGCAGCAGATGAAGAGCCACACTGCTGCCTCCTGGCTCTGAGCTGTGCTGCTCAGACCTCCTGGAGCTGGAGTCCTGTGTCCCTTTGTCCTGCTGCCACCAGCGTGGGGCAGATCTCTGTGAAGGCAGAGCACTGTATAAAACCTCACAGCTACATTTAATCACCTTGTTATTTCAAAAAGCACAGTTTCTAATGCCGAATCAATAGAAACCCTGCTGTTTTCAAAAGGTTCAGTTGCACAAAAACTGCTTCAAGAGAAGTGACTTGGATTTGGTGGCTCCTTTAATTGCTAATTGTTATGCAAATTATTCCTAATAGCTCCGTAATTAAATTTATATTATAGTGCTGGATGCTCCTGCGAGGACTTTAAATTTCATGGAATATTTGTACCTGCTAAAACCACAGTGAATTTAAGGCGAGCTGCGGGTTTTTTACAGGTTTTTTTACCTGGGCCAGAGAGCACAAAGGACTGGAGAGGCACAAATGTTCCTGGAATCTCTGTCCTGGGGACAGCAGGGGAAATGCCCCTCTCTGCACGGGTGGGGGCATTGCAGCAGCACAGTTCTGATGGCTGGGGAGATCAGCAGGAGGTGCTTTACGTCCTCACATTGTGAGCACAGGGGTGGGCAATGAAAGTGGAGAGAAATAAATGCTGTCACACAGCCCCTTTGGCTTCGTAGGCAGGCACAGAGAGCAAGAGATCATCCCACCTGCAGAAACACAACCAAGGCCTTTTGAGCATGGCTCCAACTTTTCAGGGCTAAATAAAATCCTTGATTTTTAAATCCAGGTGGTGCAGATAAACAGATCTCCTTCAGGGTTTTCAACACAGGCCAGACAAAACAGCTTTTGGATAACTGTACATTTTCCACTATGTGTCCTGGGGATTACTAGAAATCAAATGGTTTGTAGCTACTCTTTTAGCATCAACACCACCAAGCACTTTATTAAACTTTCATTGGTTATACTGACAATATATGAAGCTTATAAGGCGTTTCCACAGAAGTTCTATCTTTCTAAGCTGGAAGTCAATAGGAGCTGTAGGTTCATTTCTGTGCAGAAAGAGACCCCAAATTTCCCTGCCACCTAATGCTGAAGTGCAGCAGAGGGTAGATTTAGATTAGTTTTAGAAGAAAACTCCTTCCTGTGAGGGTGGGGAGGCCCTGGCACAGGGTGCCCAGAGCAGCTGTGGCTGCCCCATCCCTGGAAGTATTCAAGACCAGGCTGGATGGGCTTTGGAACAACCTGGGATAGCAGAAGGTGTCCCTGCCCATGGGAGGGAGGCTGGGAGCCTTAAGGTTCCTTCCAACCCAAATCATTCTATGAGTTGGTGATTCTTTTACCACACTGAACCTCACACCAAGTTTGCATTACCCTGCTGAAATCCCATCAAGTTCACAGGCATCATCTGAAAACCAGAGGATGCTTGGGATGAATCCTTGCCTCATCTGTGTGAACAAGCAGTATTTAATAAATACAGACTCTGAGAAAACTGTGTTTGAATGGCTGCTGTGAAGAAACATCTTCTGAACTGGTTACTGAGGTCCTTGAGCTAGAGCTGAATCCTTCTCGTTTATGAGAAAATGCCTTTTATCTGTAAATAATCTCCACTCCCCTTCCCCCCCCCTTCCATCCCCCCCTTCACAGACTTTTGCTCAATTGTTTATCTGTGGAAGATTACTGCATTTTTCCATGGAACAAAGAAAGATCTATTTTTCCTCGCAATGTGCCGTCTTTGTTTCACATGAATATATTAACAAGAAAAGTAGGAAATCATGGGCTTTGTCATCCTATTTATTCTGGGAACCCTGATTTAATTTTGGAGGAAAATAAGTTTTCCTTGAGGTAGAAGTCCCATCTGTAGTCATTAGCAGCTAAGCTTTGCCTTTCTACAAAGCAGCAGCATCCTGTCTGTCCGGGACTATCCTTCACATTCCCTTTTCTTCCTCTTTTGCTTCCAGCCTGGCATCTCATTTTCCCTGTGGTTCTGAGAATATCATGTGGGAAAGAGTGAGACCTAGAGCACCATTTCCTTCAGTTTTGGGTAGCAGAAACTACTTTGCTTTGGCTAGATACTGTGCCTGATCTCCCACTTTATTTCCTGGTTTTGTGTGGTGTGGATAATTGCAGTCATAAAACCTTCACCTTCCTCCTCTGAGGGGGTGGGAAAAGCTCCCAGGTTCACTATGCAGTTTACCTCACTGTAATAATAATAATAATTTGGTTTTGGGAGATTTCTTCACAGGAAAGGTAACTAACTGTCATCAGTCACATGGTTATAAATAGAGGCCAGCTCTCTAGAGCCTATGATGCAGGAATAACAAACTGCAATATTTGTGTTTAAAAAAAGTAGTAGTAAATTAATGTAATCATGGGCTTCTGTATATTGTTTTTGTCTCAGCCAATAAATGAAAAATATCAAGACAGTTGGCTTGAGATCTCCTACGAAGCAGCCCACAGTATTCTGTAAATAGCCCAACAAGAAATACTTGCTTTGTAGGTTTTTGGTGACACAGAAAGAGGCAAAACTTCTCACGCTTTTTTAAAGCTGGAAATTCTGGATGACTGATGAATATAACACACATAATGTTCCAGGATTTTATTACCTATATTAATAAAATCCATTCAAAGGTTTTAATTTCTGCTCCACAATTCTATCAATGTGACCAGCACTCAGCAGACTGAGAGGAGTTTATTGGGAGCTGGTCCTCTGGAACTTGGCACTCATCCTGGATGGTGGGCAACCAAAAGGCATCAACAGCCGAAGGGAAAGGCTGGCAAACAGGATGTGTGTGCTCTGGAATTGGTACGGGTGATCAGCCAGGAGCATTGTTTTCTTCTTTATTACAAATAATATAGGAGGTTAATGCGTTAGGTTAATAAAACCCACTGAGAGATTGTGAAAAGGAGCACAACCACATTAATGTGTTAGGTTACTAAAAATGTGTTAATGTGCTAGGTAACTAAAACCCACTGACAGACTGTGAAAAGGAGCATGACCACATTCCATGGGCTGCCCATGAAGAGAGTGTGTGTGGAACAGGTGGCTGGAGGCATTACCTGGGCAAGGAGGTCATTGTGTTAAACCAGAGCAACCAGTTCAGACCTGCTTGGCACGAGGTGCATACGTAAACATCCTGTCTCCTCTTCTCTCACCTCCTGGCTATGTGTGCTTCTGCTCTGCAGCAGTGGGGAATGCCAGGATCTGCAGAGGGGAACAGTCTCAGTAACTCCCCTTTTTTTGGACCTTGACCCATTGCAAGTGCTCAGAGAGGCTTGGCTGTGTGGGTGTGGAGCAGTGAGCTGTCCTGGGAGCCTGGTGCAGGGAGATCCCTCTGCAGGAATGGTGCTGGGCTGGGGATAGCACAGGTGGGCTGAGACAGCAGCCTCGTGGGTCTCAAAGGACACAGGGGTGCAGGGGTGTGATGCTGTGCACATAGGGACAGAGTGCAGAGAGCTTGAGAGTCCCCTCTCTCCCCTGCCCTCTGCTTGAACCAATTCAAGCAACTGGAGCAACTTCTCCCTTTAACATTTGTAACATAAAATGTTTTTTTTGTAAGAGCCTGTTTTTTGTAAGAGCCTGTTCTTCTGAATCATTTTCCCTCCTCCTCTCTCTCATTTGCAGAAATGAACTATAATCCTAGGGTACAGCTGAAAGTTTGCAAGGCAAAAATCACAGACTGCTGAGATTTTCTTTTGCCTGCAAGGGATTCAGTAAGGATCTAAACAGTGAAAACAAGGGCCAGCAATTAGTATTTGGATGCAGGATCATTTTTAGCTCTCTACATAGGGCAGGCAACGCCATGAGCTATAGAGCATTGCAGAGCACTGCTCAAGTGGCTGCCTCAGCAAGGGCATGGCTGCTGTTGAGGCCATGTGAAAAGGCAGTAATAGGAGGTGTGCAATACACAAAGAAACACACAACTAATACAAGATTAAACACTATTATTATGTGAAAGAGCATTAGAGCAGCGAAATTATTTTGAGGAACTGGTTCAGTGCCAGCTCATTAGCAAAACATGAAATAGTTTTACAGACATTTGCACAAAGATGGAGAGAGAAGGGGAAAGAATGCCAAATGCAGTCTGTGGGAAAAGGCTCTTCTACCCTCAGTAAAGGTAAGAAGAGGCAGGAGGAAAGTCAGCATCAGCAAGAGGACACACCTCACATTGCCTTCAAAATGGAGACTTTGACACAGACTGAGCAGAGAATCATTAAAGTTGGAGAAGACCTCCAAGATCATCAAGTCCAGGTGTTTGACTGGTGTTTAGTCAAACATCAAGGTGTTTGACTAAACACTACCTTGTCTACTAAACCACAGCACTGTTATGTCCAGTCATTCCTTGAACACTTCAGGGATGGACACCCCACCACCTCCCAGGGCAGACCATTCCAGAGTTTGAAATCTTTACTGTAAAGAAATTCCTTCTGCCCGACCTGAACCTCCCCTGGCACAGCTCAAGGCCATTTCCTCTTGTCCTGTGACTGGTTACCAGGGAGAAAAGGGCAAACCTCACCTTTGTACAGCCTCCTTTCAGGTACTTGTAGAGTGATAAGGTCTCCCCAGGCTAAAACCTTCAGCAGCTCAATGTCCTTCCTGAACTGAGGGGCCCAGAACTGGACACAGCCCTCGAGGTGTGGCTGGGCACCTGCCCTGGTACCAGGGTAGGTACCTGGTACCACACTACTGCTGATACAGACCAGGAGACCACTGGCCTTCTTCCCACCTGGGCTCATGCTTAGCCACTGCCAAGCAGCACCTCCAGGCTCTTTTCCACTGGGAGGAAAAGAACCAGACACTGCCCCAGCCTGTGTGTGCAGGGGGTGGCTGTGGCTGCAGTGCAGGACCTGTCCTTTCACCTTGCTGACCCTCACACTGTCTGCCTCAGCCCATCAATCCAGCCTGTCCAGATCCCTCTGCAGAGCCTTCTTAGCCTCCAGCACATCCACACTGCCACCCAGCTTGGTGTCATCTGCGAGCTTACTGACGGTGCTCTCCAGCCCCTCGTCCAGATGATTAATAAAGACATTAAACAGGCTCGTCCAGATGATTAATAAAGACATTAAACAGGACTGGGCTCAGTATCTGGGGAGCCCCACTAGTGACCAGCTGAGTGTGGCACCATTCACCACCACTCTCTGGGCTCAGCCATCCTGGCAGTTTTTAACCCTTTAGAGAAGAGTGGGCTCCAAGACACAGGCTGCCAGCATCTCCAGGAGAATGCTGTGGGAGACAGGTAGGTCACTTGGTCATAAAAGGATATTCCATTTTATTAAATTCTCAGAATAAAATCAACTTCAGATCTATTTGTATTTTCTTACCCATACTCATACAATCACTTTTATCGGTCTTCAAACCACACTGACTGTTCATTCTGTTCTCAGTTTCTCCTGCTTTTCTCCTAGACAAACTGTTCAGGCACTGATTTAGTGATCTTAACTGAGCATTCAGAGGAAAAAAACAAGTTTGCAGGCTGAACATCCCTTCAAGAGATCCTCAGTCCTCCTACTTTGCCTGGAGAAAAGCATTTTTCTGGGATTTATTTTCTCCTGTAGAGCAGAGAACAGTAATGTTAAATGCTTAGGCACAAGTAATTGATAAGACAGCAGAGGCAGCTTCTCTGTAAAAAGAGAAGCTCTCTCTTGTCCTGGTGGACATGAACAGATGCAGCCATGCTGTAAATATTTAATTGTTTAGACACATACATCACATTGTAGATGCAATACAGGTAAAAGACACAGATAATAATACATGATTATGTATGTATATATGATAATATATAGAATCACGTAGAGGTGAGAATATTTCAAAAGACTGACCCATCCACCCATCTTCTGGCTAATTTTGAGGCATCAGCCTCTTCCCCAGCAGGATCACAGGTCCCACAGAACACCTGAGGCTTTTCTAGGAATGGAGACCAAACTCTGCAGAGTGATTTCTGCCCAGTGCTGCTCCACTTATTTGCTACTGAAAAAACTCAAAAACCAAACCAAACAAACAAAAAAAAAAAAACTAAGAAGAAAAAAAAATTTAGGAAGCTGGAAGACGAGTAAATGGATGAAGCGTTCGGTCCTGCCCGAGGAGTCTCCGGTACCCGCGTGCCCGCACCCGCTCTCGGGCTCCCGGCACCGCAGCCGCGCGGAGGGGGCGGCTCCGCCACCACCACCTGTGGCGGCGGGATGGCGGAGCTCGACATCAGCGCGGAGGCAGTGATGGGCTTCCTGAGGGAGCGCGGCGGGCGGGTGCGCAACACCGAGCTGGTGAGCGCCTTCCGGCCGCTGCTGGAGGCCGCCGGGGCCGGGGCCGGGGCTGGGGAGGCGGAGGGGCGGGCGGCGCGGCGGGAGCGCTTCAAGGCGGCGGTGAACGCCGTGGCCACGGTGAAGGAGACCGACGGCGTCAAGTTCGTGGTGCTGAAGCGGCAGCTCCGCGCTGCCCCGCCGGCGGGGGGCGATGCCGGCGCCCCTGTCCCTGCTCCCGTCCCCGACCCGGTTCCCGTCCCCGACCCGGGCCCCGCCGGGACGCCCCCCGAGGAGCCGCCGGGGCCG